TGCTTCGATTTGCTCATGCTCCTTATATCCAAGCTCTTGGAATAATGGGAAGAGCCAAGAGCTTGGACAAAAGCACCAGAGATGTAGGTGGGGTGGGAATTACTGGGCTGAGCTCCAAGAGGTTGGTGAACATGGAATTTGAGCTGCTATTCCCAGGTCATGTCCTCAGGACAAATGGCTCCATCCAGGAGCAGGAACGTGTTCCCTCCAGGAAGAATTCAGCTCTGTTGTGGGATGAAGGAATGGGAAAAAGGAATGAGCTTTTGGCAAATAACTACCCTACAGAAACTTGGGAAGGTTTTTTCAGAGGGTCATATTTGTGGGAGTTCCCCCTCAAAAAAACCCAAACTGGTTCCAGGGAATTTTCTGCTTTTCATCCCTTTCTTTCCTTCTCTTCCTTCCTTATTTCCTCCTCATTTTCCAAGACCACAAAACTCAACATTTCCCTGAATCTCCTTTTCTCTAGAGAGCCACGACCACACAACCAACAGCACCTCAAACCCTCCTGCTTTGGAAAACCATAGGGAATTCTCAGATTTGGACTGGGTTTTGGGAAAAATTCCTCCCTGACAGCAGCTTCTCAAGAGATCCCAATCAGGAGGAACTTCCAGTCGTGATTTTGGGATGAGGTGACTTCTCCACTTGGGCTGAAGTGTGGATTGATCCTGATCCTCCTCCAAAAACTGACAGAAATCCTGGGATAGCAGGAAAAATATCCCAAAAATATGTGTGTTTCTGCCCGGTTTCGAACCGGGGACCTTTCGCGTGTGAGGCGAACGTGATAACCACTACACTACAGAAACCTCATATTTCAATTTTTGGGGGTATTTTTTATAACCTCTGGAATGTTCCAAACCCCCAAAATTTTCTCCTTTGGTTTCCCAAATCCTTTAGGATTCTCTCAGCCCTTTGGATTCATCCCCTGAAGGCCTTGAATTCTCTTCTCCTTGTTCCTTAACCTTTTTTTCTCCCTTAATTCCCAATCCGAAAGGGGGAAAAAAAAATCCAATTTTTCAAGGAATTTCAGGGAGTTTAGAGTATTATTTTCCCCACCTCAGGAATCTAATCCAGAGCACAGAGAAATTTTCCCTACTAGGAACAAGTGGGAGAAAAAAATTTAGGGAAAAATCTCATTTTTTGGGGATTAATTTTGCTGGTTTTCCTCTTTTATTTTGTTGTTTCTCCATTACTTTTCCCATTTTTGACTAATTAATCGCTTCATATTAAAATATTTTTCCTTGTTTTTCCCATTTGGGATCAATTAATTTCTTTTTGACTATCGCTTTATATTAAAATATTTTTTCTTATTTTTCCCATTTGGGATCAATTAATTTCAATCGAAGAATCTGAAGAAAAATTGAAACCAAAAAATCAGGGAAAAAAAAAAGAGGAAAAATTGAGTTTCCAAACTGAAGAATTTAGAGGGAAAATGAGGCAAAAATTCCAGAGAAAAAGAGGAAAAATAAACCTTTTTCGTCCTAAAAATATATTAAAATATTTTTTCTTATTTTTCCCATTTGGGATCAATTAATTTCAATCGAAGAATCTGAAGAAAAATTGAAACCAAAAAATCAGGGAAAAAAAAAAGAGGAAAAATTGAGTTTCCAAACTGAAGAATTTAGAGGGAAAATGAGGCAAAAATTCCAGAGAAAAAGAGGAAAAATAAACCTTTTTCGTCCTAAAAATTTGAGATTTTTCCTGCCTCAATCGCAGAATCTGAAGGAAAATCGACGTAAAAATTCAGGGGGAAAAAAGAGGTAAAACGAAATGTCTCAAGTGCAGAATTTGGAGGGAAATTGAAGCAAAACTTCCGGAGAAAAATAAAAAAAAAGAGGAAAACTGAAACATTTTGGTCCAAAAAATTGAGAATCTGAAGGAAAATACACCCCAAAACTCATGGAAAACCAGCAAAAACTCAACTAGTTGCTGCTCTAAAGCCTAATATTTTTTTTTCCTGTGCTTTCACTGTGGGATGCGGAGGGAATATTGAACTTCAAAAAAGTGGAAAACTATGGAATTTTAAGGCTGTTTCTGCTCGGTTTCGAACCGAGGACCTTTCGCGTGTGAGGCGAACGTGATAACCACTACACTACAGAAACGCCACTGAATTCCCTTTTGGGTCACTCGGAACCTCTAAACTCTTGGAAAAAAAAATCACATTTTTTTTTTTTTCCTATGGAATTCCATCCCTTTGGCTCTGCTTTTAATCCCAGTGCGAATCGTTGCCAACCACAGAACGCAAAGTCTCTCCAGTCCACCCAAACCCCAAATGGTTTTTCGGCGCTTCCAGGAAGAATTTGGGAAAGGATTTTTCGCCTTTAGGCGCTTCCAGGAAGAATTTGGGAAAGGATTTTTCGCCTTTCGGGACTTCCAGGAAGAATTTGGGAAAGGATTTTTCGCCTTTCGGGACTTCCAGGAAGAATTTGGGAAAGGATTTTTCGCCTTTCGGGACTTCCAGGAAGAATTTGGGAAAGGATTTTTCGCCTTTCGGGACTTCCAGGAAGAATTTGGGAAAGGATTTTTCGCCTTTAGGCGCTTCCAGGAAGAATTTGGGAAAGGATTTTTCGCCTTTCGGCGCTTCCAGGAAGAGTTTGGGAAAGGATTTTCCAGGCTGTTCCCAAGAGATTTTGCTCTGGTGGGTGTTTTAGCAGGAAAAATGTGTTAGAACTATGGAATTCCGTCCCAAAAGGTGGAATTTCCAGGTGCCCGGCTAGCTCAGTCGGTAGAGCATGAGACTCTTAATCTCAGGGTCGTGGGTTCGAGCCCCACGTTGGGCGTCTGATTTTTCATTTTTCTACTCTTTTTTTACCCAACGCTGATTATTTTCCCTCCATTTACCTAATTCTGATCGGGTTTGAACCTTATTTGCGGCCCCGAGGAGATTAAAGAGTCTTTGGCTGCTTTTTAGACAAAGCTGATATTTTTGGGGGGGCCTTTTATTTAGGCAAAAAATCTGATATTTCGTTGCCTTTTGTTTGTGAGAAATTGGAGGTTGTTTTTTCTCTCCTTATTAAAGTGGTTTTACTCTTAAGTTCTTGTTGCTTTATCATTATCTCCCTAACCTTTCCACCAAACCAAGACAAAAAAAAAAAAAAAACCGCAAAAATCCGTCCCAAAACCAATGCTAAAAAAATAAAATAAAAATAAAAATCCCATTTTTTTTCCCCCAACCCTCAATTCTGAGGTGTGTTGGGTAATATTCTCCAGTGTCAGGATGGCCGAGTGGTCTAAGGCGCCAGACTCAAGACTCAGCTCTTCCCAAGCTCGGGAATTCTGGTCTCCGCATGGAGGCGTGGGTTCAAATCCCACTCCTGACAACTCTTTTAAACTCCATTTTCCATCCCCCAAATCCTTTTTCTATGCATTTTTCCCACTCCGACAAAACTCGACCTCGCGCTGGAGTTTCCCATCCCAAAAAAGGGAGGAAAAAAGGGGAGGAAAAGGGATGTTTCCTGAGAGTGGGAACATGGAAAAAGGGATGGAAGCTGAAAAAATAGAGATAATCTCTGAGTGGGAATCGTAGAACAAACTGGGTTGGAAGATACTTCAGATACTCCTCAAGAGGAGAATCAAGAGGAGACTCAAGAGGAGGCTCAAGAGGAGGCTCAAGAGGAGAATCAAGAGGAGGATCAAGAGGAGACTCAAGAGGAGGCTCAAGAGGAGGCTCAAGAGGAGAATCAAGAGGAGGATCAAGAGGAGACTCAAGAGGAGGCTCAAGAGGAGGCTCAAGAGGAGAATCAAGAGGAGGATCAAGAGGAGACTCAAGAGGAGAATCAAGAGGAGGCTCAAGAGGAGACTCAAGAGGAGACTCAAGAGGAGGATCAAGAGGAGGATCAAGAGGAGACTCAAGAGGAGGCTCGGGGAAGACCATATACCTATTTTTAGCTCCCGGAAAGCAGGTTGGAGTCAGGTGGGGTCTCTTCTTGCAAGCAACCAGCAGTAGGACAAGAGGGCACAGCTCTTCCAGGGGAGGTTTAGGTTGGATATTTGGAAGAGATTTTTTACAGAGAGAGTGCTCAGGCATTGGAATGTGCTGCCCAAGGAGGTGATGGAGTCACCATCCCTGGAGGTTTTCGGAGGTGCCACGGTCCAGTAGCCACGGTAGGGTTGGACTGGATGGTCTTGGAGGTCTTTCCCAAGTTGGGTGATTCTATGATGCTCCCTGAGCAAAAGAAAGAGGCGTTCCCTGTCGGGGAACCGAACCCGGGCCGCGGCGGTGAGAGCGCCGAATCCTAACCACTAGACCACCAGGGAAACCGATTTTATTTTTTGAGTCACACTCCATGGCACAGACACAACCTCATGGACCTCAGGCGATAACTCAGATGGAGTTCAGAGAATGACCCTGGCAGACCTCAGACCGAGCCTGAGGGACACCAGGACGTGACTCTGGTGGACCCCAGAGGGTGACCTTGATGGGCCAAGAGGTTACCCTGGTGGACCTCAAAGGGTGACCCTAGTGGACCTTGAGGGACCCCAGGAGGTGACCCTGATGGATCTCAGGGTGCAGGAAACGATCCTCCTGGACCCAAGAGAGTGAGATGTGAGTGGACACTGTCCCACCAGGAGTATCAGGGGGAGAGTGTGAACTGACACCCCCTCCCCAAGCAGAGCAAGGGCAGGACCTTCTCCCCAGCGAAGGAGCTTGATGAGTATGTAAAGATGGGAACTTCCTTCTCGGCGTCAAAAAACGCCACTCGTCCTTCCTCGTAGTCCAAGTAGATCCCAATCACCTTGGGAGCCACCAATAAGGAGATGGGCACAGTGGGAGAGGTGAGAGCTTGGTACTGACTCCCACACTGCCCCACGGCCCAGATCCCAACCTCGGGATTGACGCTGATCCTTCCCTTTCTTTGCACAGATTCCCTGGCCACTCCCACGGCCCAAGCTGCTCCATCCCCCACCTCCACCTCCCAGTAGTGTCTCCCCGCGCCGAAACCCTCGCGACCCAGGACACAGCGCGAGGCGTCGAAGCGTTTGGGGTTATCCGGGACGGCCTGGCGGGTGTCGTCCCACCTGACGTGCTTCAGGTCCTCCGACAGGACCAGCCGTGGATGTGCCGTCTCCGGATCCAGGGTCAGACTCACTGGAGACAAGGACAAGATCAGTGGTACATCTCTGGGGGCATCGGGGTGATATTGTCCCCATCTTGCCCAGTCCCATGATTGATTCCCTCTCCGACCCCTCCCAACCTTCTCTGACCCCTCCCAACCTTCTCCGACCCCTCCCAACCTTCTCCAACCCCTTCCAACCTTCTCTGACCCTCTTCCTGGTCCTTCTCTACCTTGGAACATCCTCAACATCTCTTTGAGGGCAACGTTTTTCTGAGTGATCTCCGTGGGTTGATCCTCTGGCTCAGGAGATGTCTCTATTGGTTCCTGGACATTGTCCTTCTCCAGCCTGGAAAGAAGAACTTTTCTGCTAAGCCTTCACTTGAAGATGCCAAGTTCCAACTGGCATGTTTGATCCAGAACTAGGAAATGGTGGGATTGGAGTGAAGGATGAGCCCTGAGATACTCCTTGAGGAGCTCCTGGAGAACATCTGCTGACTCAACCCCCTGGAAGGGACTCCCTAGAGAAACTGCGGAGGATCTGGAGGTACCTTCATCCCCACCCTGATACCTGTCCCTGGTCTTCACCATCCTACTTGGACCTTTGTGGTGTCCTAGTTGTGTCCTACATGGTCCTATCATGTAGGATCATGGATCATGGAGGGTTTTGGAGTCCACCACAAGGAGAAACCACCTTGACATGACCCAAACCGTTCGAGAGGAACCACAAACCTGCTCAGGATGTCTCTGCTGTCCTACAAGAGAGAGAAAGAGACAGAAGATCAGGTCAGAGAAGGTTCAATCTACCTGGGCATAAACAACAGAGAGAACTGTAGAGTGACCTCAGGGCTCTTACTCTACCCAAATGATGGGTCAAAAGTGAGTCCCTCAAAGCTGATCTGAGGAGAGTTGGGTGAGGTCATGGCAACCTTAATGAGCAGCTCGTTGGGTTATCCCCACGACGTTCCCAAGAGGACATCACACTTTCTAATGAACATCTCTCCTCACTTGGATCTCAAATTTGGGGTGAACCAGAACCTCAAGGTAGGTTCAGGCCTGTGGGTTTGATGACTATCTCTACACTAGGTGAAGTGACATTGGTGGTTTCTCCACTGGGAGCTCAGAATGTTGGGATGGACCAACCCCTCCCAACCTTCTCCACCCTCTCCCAACCCCCTCCAACCCCTTCCAGCCCCCTCC